ATATTACAATATAAAAATAAATATAATAATATAAAAAAATATAATGTATAAGTAATAGATATAATTAAATATAAATATAATTATTTTTAATAATTATAATAATTAATAAAATAATATATTATCTTAATTATATAATTAATATTTATTTTTTATTTAATAATTTTATTTAATTATATATTATAATTAATTATTTAATAATAAATTAATATATATAATATATATCATTCAATAAATGGCGCTCTACTACAATTCAATTTTTTTAATTTATTCAGGTTATACGTTTTTTTTTCAGATTTACATATATGTCATAACCTTACTTTTTCTATTTTTTACGTGTATTATTATTTTATGTATTCCATTCAAATAGTGATATTATTTTGTATGTTTTTATAATTTACTACACAATGATTTGCCCTTTGTTACGCGTTACTGTTATTTTGTTATAATACTTTGATTAATATATATATATATATATGTATAAAAGTGTTCGACCCGTTAAAGTTAGGGCGTTGTAGGAGAAAAGACGACCAATAGAATGGTAGGGGAGAAGGAAAAATGGTAGGAGGACGGATCGAAGGGAGTGAAATTGAAAATTTTCGTCTACACTCTAGCATCCGGTAAAAGCCAGCTTTGCTTTGCTCGAATGATTAAGGACCCTAAGGACACGCTTGGCGCAACGACTTGACGGAAACTTCTTCCATGTAGTCGACCGACAACGCCTCTCTTCTACGAGATATCGATCGCAATATAACGTTAGAAAAGGACAAAAAGAAAGGAAAAGTGAGAAAGAGGAGGAGGAGGAGGAGGAGGTGGTGGTGGTGGTGCTGGTGTAGGTGGAGGAGGGGAAAGGGGTTGTAGGCTAAGAGGAAGGAAAGGAATCTTAGCTATAAACGAGCGTGTTTAATATTTCAAAAGGGGACAAGAGACAACGACCTGATCAAATATATATATACATCATTGAGTTTATTAACCCTTTCATTCCGAAAATGTACACATAGCACGTGATCAATCCTCTTTTGTACGAACATTTTCTTAAACGTTAAATAAAAACCGTGCTTAACATTTAAATCTATCGACACTTCGTGTATATCTATTTTTAGCGTGAGCAATCAAATAACCTCTTTTAAGAAAAGGTTTTAAAAAGTTAAGGTTTTAATATAGAATGAAACTACATATAGCCAATTGTATAGGGAAGAAAATATTTTTCTTTTGATTTAAATATGAATAATCTTTACCATATATTTGATGAGTTTTTATAAATTATAGGTTATGATAGGTTTAATGTTGATAAAACAATGTTAAATAATATCCAACGTTAGTACGTACAGGTCATCAGATGGATGTCGAATATATCCGGCACTCGTATATACGGATAATTAGATAGATGCCGGATATATCCGACGCTCGTATGAAAAAGTGTTAATTAATTCATTTTAATGTTTTATTATTATTATTATTATTATTTTTATTATTATTATTTATAACGTATTTTCTTTAGATAAATCAAAATAATCATCTAATAGTAAGTAAAAATGAATTTATTATTTTAATTTTAGTAAATGATTTTGTTTGTAAAATAATCAATGCATTATTATGTGTTTATAATGCGATAAAATTATGAAATAGTAATTGGTAAATATGTTTTTGTTTTGTAGTGGTAGTAGTAGGGTGTCATATCATCACTACGAAAATATAAAATCTTCGAATCATTAAAAATACAATGTTTCATTAACCCGCAAAAAAAAACATGGTCCTCACGACGAATTTTCTATTTCAGACTGGAACTCCGCCCTATTCATCATCCTGAATGGTACGAAGGAGGAGCATTTGGACATGCTGGACGGTGGCATTATTCAACGATTACTCGAGGAAAAATGGAAGACCTTTGCTCGGGTGGGTATTCTATTTAAAATCAACGGCGAAAAAAAAACAAACAAAACCAAAAAAAAAAACAAACAAAACAAAAAAAAGAAGAAGAAGAAATAGGAATCAATGAAACAAATTTCCCCAACCTCCAATCGAGTCTAATATTCTATCCCTCCCCCCCTTACCTCACCCCTCTTTATTCCTTAATTACTTTTTCTCCCGTCGATTTGATTATTTTTATTCCTTCTTTTTTTTTTGAAATTTATTATTCGCAATGAGAGAGAAAGAGAAAAGAGAGTAGAGGGTTGGGAGTTGGAGGTGGGGGTGAGTAAAGGAAGAAAAGAGGAGAATTAAGCTAGGAAGGGGTAGACACAGTGAGATCGATTTTCGCTTAGCGTCACTTTCACGTAAAAGGTTTGGTAGGGGTGAGGGTGGGATGGGGGCAGTTTCGTGGGAGGAGACTGCGTTCTGCATTGATATCATCGTAACAGCTATTGATATAACTATACCACCTGGTAAGACCAAATTTTGTCTTCAGGGAACAAAACTACACAAGCCTAATGAGCTTTTAAAAAAGAGTCTCATTGATCTTCAAATCATTCTGAATTTAACACTTGTTAGTTTAGTCGGTTGATTGGGTCTATTAATTTGGTGTCACACTTTTCTTTTTTGAAACTCACTTTGAGAGTTTTTAATGCAAATATTAGGTAAAAGATTATCTTTGGAAATATTTATCAGGTTTTTTTTGGGTCTGTATCAATTTGGGTAACTTATTAATAATATTCTATTAGAATGGAAGTGGTTTATTGGTTATGAATTATTCTACGCATGTTTGGACCTCTTCAAACAATTCTTTGGGAAATAGTATTGTAAGGCCCCAAGAAATGGGACCAGATCTGAAAACTAACCTTATTGGGAATACTTCCCCTTCCAAGGTTTACAAATGATGTCTCACGTGCCTAATAGAACGTTTCGTGTTGCAAAATAACGTGTCTCGTTTCATGGTCGGTAAAACGGACTTTTCGCATGATCAATAAATTAAAACGTCTATTTTGTAATGTCGCACAAATCATGTCCTGTAATTTAAACAGTTGATTATTTGCATATGAAATAAGGAAAGCGTTAAGTTTGTTAGAAGCAAGTGATTTTTTTTCTGTCACACGTCATAACGTTTTAAATCATTATGATAGATTGATAATTTTTATTCTAAGTGGTACAATTATTTATAATCTAAATAACACTCCTTCAGATCTCATCAAGGTTATTAAGAAATTTGAATTCTAAGAGAAAATAGTGATGTATGTGTGAATGATTCTATAAATAAAAGTAATGATAGTTGTAAATATATATAGGACCTGAATTAATTTTACATTTAATACTAATCACAGTTATAGGTTTTGGTTAATAGTTAAATTTGGATTTGATAGTATTAAATATGAAGGTACTATATATATTTAATACTAACCACAGTTATAGGTTTTGGGTGATGTTTAAATTTGGATTTGATAGTTTCAAATGTAAGGGTATAAAATTAATTTCTACATTTAATAACTAACACGTTATAACTAACCACATTATACTATATCTATATACATATATGCTATAAATATCTACATTATAACTAACCACAGTTATAGGTTTTGGGTGGTATTTAAATTTTTATTGATAGTTTTAAATGTAAGGATACCAAATTAATTTCTGCATTTAATACTAACCACAATTATAAGTTTTGGATGATATTTAAATTTTTATTGATAGTTTTAAATGTAAGGGTACCAAATTAATTTCTGCATTTAATACTAACCACAGTCATAGATTTTGGACGATATTTAAAATTCTATTTGATAGTTTTAAATATATACAGGCACTGAATTAATTCCCACATTTAATACCAACTATCAAACTACCATTATAGGTTTTGAATGATATTTAAATTTAGATTTGATAATTTTAAATATATAAAGAATCATCTCGAATTAATTTCTACATTTAATTTCAACCACCTTCATGGGTTTAGGGATGATTATTTTTTGGACTTGTCAAGTGACAACGAAGAGGAATAGAAGACGAGTAGAAGGACGAGTTGATCTCTCGATTGAGAGATTCCTATTAAACGATTTTCAGGGGTGCATACAACAAGTGTGACGTTGATGGGGCTTACGAGTGATCGCAAATAATTGCCTGAATTATTTCAACTTAGTCCAGTGGCCATCAATGGGGTGACGTCGATTGAACGATCTCCAAGTAATTTTGCCTCGCGTTCAAGTGAGGAATCTGTCGATCCTCGATTTAGCGATCGCAATTACGATTCACCCTACTCTATCTCTCTCTATCTTTCTATCTCCCTCACTCTCTCATTTATAACACGTCAAGGTTTCTCGATCGATATGGTAGATATCAGGTAATTATAATTAAGTATTATCAGCCAATTCTATCAATCGTATCGATAGATTCCTTTTTTTCAATTAAATCTTTCTCTTTTGTTTTCGTTTCGTATGTTTAGTGATACATGTGTATGTATGTGTGTGTGTGTATAGATATATATATATATATATACAGATATATTTAAATTAAGTATCACATGTTTATTATAGTAATGCTACTATTTTGTAATAATAGATTCGGTTAAAAGAATTGTACAATAATACAGTTGATATGTGTCAGTTACTGAATTGACATATATTATACGTTCCACAATTGTATGCAATGATTGATCAATTCAATGATTGATAAATTGTAAGTTTATTTTCCGTAAGTTATGTTGTGTCTGTGTGTTCATGTTCATGTATCTCAACGTGATTTGCGTGACGAGCTGATGGAAAGTGTATGGGGGACTTTCTTGTTGGCCTAGCCTACTGTCACTGGCCTAACCTACCTTGACATGTTAATGGAATGGCTTATGCTTCAACTAAATGAAGATTGTCCTAACCTCATCTTTCAACAGGATTTTACTCATCTTCATTTTTACTGTGTCGTTTGTGAATAACCGAAATGTCAATTTATCTGGAATCGGTTCTGTCAAGAATTATCAATGTTTTCTGTTATTTTTGATGATCTAATTTTAATAATTTGAAATTTCTTTTTGTGTGGAGATACTTTTAAGATTTTATTATGTTTTTTCCCCGCCATTTCAACAACACCTGGGCGATTTGAAGAATCGCATCTGTGGTGATGGGTTCAAACGCATTTGGGAAAAAATGGGCTACTTGGGCTACTGTTTACATGTTTCTAAGAACAGATTTCAAATTTATGGAACAATAAACTTTTACTGATTGTTTATCAATTCATATCATTATGATTCGTTCGATACATAACGTTTGTTCGATATGTAATAAATCAAATTAAATTTCGCATCAGACTTTTTGAATAATTCTGTATAAATATACATACACAAGTCTGTTCAAAATGTTTAGAATAAAAAGTAAATCGTTTAAAGAATTTAAAAGACGAATAAATAGTTTAGAAAAATTAAATTTTCTAAACATAACCTAGAAAGTAGTTCTTTATCGGTTTGTTTTATTTGGTTTTTGAACATCGATTGATATTATTGAATTTAAAAATTTGATAAATAATAAATCAGCTTTTATTTTGCATCGTCTTGAAACACCTGACATCCTAGAAACCCTGACGCAATCCTGATGCAACCTTATATTAATATACATTCACGTCTGACTAAAAGAAATAGAAAAATCTTTAAAACTTTTTAATGACATTCCGCCATTTTTTTCTTATTATCCAATGAAAAATAAGAGACGAATAAATGGTTTTGAAAAATGAAATATCCAAGACATAACCTAAAATTTATGTGTATGTAAAATTTTCTTTTTTATTTTGTTTTATTTGCTCTTTGAAAGTCGACTAATCATCTTATTGAATTTAGAAGTTTGTTAAACAGTAAATCTATTTTAATTTGTGCACAATCCTTTTTGAATAATCCTGTATATCGTCCTAACATTAATACCGAATGTTACGATATAACTGATTACAGTATAATAAGAATAATAATATAAGAAATAAATACATAAAAAAAGAAGATTATTAAGCAATCAAATCTCATAGAAGAATTATACAAAAGTTACAGTTTTTGAAACGTTTGGTAATCCTGGTCTTCCATTTGACGTCGCTGTCCTTGGCAGTTTACTTGAGACCTGCCGAGTTGGATGCTGTTCTTCTTAAATGGCCGGAGGAGATAACGGAGATGGCACGCATCGCGGCTGAGTGTATCACCGTTCTCGGAGTACTCAGCTACATTCTCGTTCAGCTAGGCGGGGAAATGATCAACGTTGGCTTGCTATCCTTTCTCAAGCAACTGGTATTAGAAAAAAAAAGAAACAGAAAAAAAAAATATAAAAGAAAAGACAAAAGTGGGTAGCAGAAGGAAAAGAGAACAAAAATAGAGGAGGGAAAGATATCATCTTCTTTAATCTCGCGAAACGTTTTTCTAACATTTCTTGATCGCGAAATAGCTAGTATACCCTGTTGGCTAGCAACTTGATAGGAAAGGATGACGAGGGGGGTGAAGGGGAGGGGGCAGGGGGAGATGGTAGGGAGTAGGATCCGGGTATAAACAAGAAATGTTACGCAAACGGTTGGTCAACGAACTGTAACCAGTCACGAGAGATGCACCCGTTGATATATTACCACAAAGAAAATTTTCGTATATAAGATTTACCGAGATCACGACGATAATGATCATGATTATGCTAATGATTTATTCTCTGGTTATATATATATATATATATACTTTCCTGTAATATTCCTTCCTCTATTTTTTATTTCCTTTTTTTTTAGTTCATTCATTTAATTTGCGTTTAAATATTTTTATTGAAAATGTTAAGCCATTGAAATGACGTATATCAATTGTTTCAAAGTAATTACACTGGTCTGCAACAAAATTCTCCTTTAAAAAATTATGTTTAATTATTATTAATAAAATATATGTTGAAATTTCAGACCCATGAGCCAGCTAAATTGATCTTCGTGATAAGCAATTTGTTGATACTCGCTTGCATACCATGTCGTTTTGCTGGCGATCGGGACGCCGAGGACGCCATCTTGGTTGTCGCTGTACCCGGTTCTTGGTTTCTTCTTATGTTTTTTGCTGGGTATGTCGATTAAATCCAAAAGGGTAGCGGGTAAATCTTAAATATAGTTTAGGATTTACTTCAGGGATGCGACCCTGCCCACGCGAGCCTTGATTATCTCCCATATCCAATTAAATTGGGAAAAATCATGTCCTAACCTATAATTCTATTTTGCATTGATTTTATATCCATAAAAATCGAGGAGGATTAACTAATAACGATGATTATGGTGATTATAATGATAATAATGATGACATTCACAGAAAATTGTGTTTTATTGAAATCATTTCTGATCATTAATGAAATTATTGGAAATGAGTAATTAATATTTAACCAGTTAACTGTGGAATTTAGTTTTCATACTAACAGTAATGAGATACTTCATTTATAACCTATACAATTTATTTCATAGAAATTAAAATGATTCATTTTATTAAAAGTCATTTATTTTATTAATAAGAAATATACAATTTATGCAATAATATTTCTTGACTTATAAAATTGCATTATAAATCGTAAAATATTCTACGAGAAAATTTAAATAGGGTCATTTTTTATTTTTCGTGATAGTATTTAAAAGTTTAACGTTCAAAATCTTTCACAGGATGGTTAATTAAAATCATACACCCTTAATGTGAATCATTTTTATTTTATAGGAAATAAACAATTAATCGTTAAAAAAATTATTGCAATTGAATATTAGAAAATTTGTAAAACTAATATTTAAATTCATAAAGATGAAAAATAAAGAAAAAAATAATGCGAAGAAACTCAGATAATTTCAGTGTGGTAGTTTTGAAAGCAAAGTACCACGCAAAGTGGCACTTGGCAGGTCATGGCACCTAGTATCGTGACATCTTACGGATTTCATTTCTTCAGCAAATGACACATCTTCTAAGTGGTTTTTCCTGTTGATTGTAAGAAGTAGTTTTATTGGTAATATACCAGATGACATTTTAATTACTTTTACTTGTAATATTGTTTAATGACAAGTATAATGTTAGGTGACGAGTATACGTGTCAACTGTACCGAAATTAAGTTTTGAATCGACGTGTATATACTTCGAACTCACAGTTAACTTATTACATTCACCTAGGAACACTTTTTACCTCTATTCTGATTTGTTGTATAGTTGACTCCTGCATAACGCGGTTAATATGTTGCGCGTTCTGTAAATTCGCGTTATAAGAAATCACGTTGTACAAAAATTTAGTCTATTGTAATATAATTATTTTTTTCTATTTACTTTATACAATTATTTTATTAAAATAATAAGTATATAAATATTAAT